CCAAGAGAGGAAGCACTGTGCTGGTGCACTCTGCTTCATCTTGTCCCCTGGGAGGGGGGTCTCCTGTGCCTGGCCACCACCGCTCTCCAGGATCTCCACCACCACCTCCAGCCTTCTCCCAGGGACCATCAGCCATCCTGCCCTCGGTGCAGGGACAGGCCACAGCCTAACTCCTGTCTTTGCCTTCAGGCAGAACCCGGGAGGTGAGCCCCAGAATCACAGCGCGGTTCAGGAAACTGGCGAGGGAGAAGAACTTCACCGATGAGATGGTCAGCATCCTGCCCAGACAGGGTGAGCGCTGCCCAGCACCACGTCGGGCTGGCTTGGTCAACACGGGGGGCCAGGACGTGCCGGCAGGGACCAGCTTGGCCCATCGCTGCCACCACTTTGTGGTCTGAGCTGGCAGAAGGCACTCTGGCTTGGCATGTGGTGGCTTTTGCCTTGCTCAAGTTCATTCTTGGGTTGTCTGTTTTGGGTGCTAAATGGGACTAGCCAGGCCACCACCCCAGACTCAGCCTTTCTCTTTATTTTCACAGACAAATGCACCCTGGACAAAGCGTAGGTGAGTGGCTGCAGTGCAACGTGGTGTTTGCAATGGCCTCCACTGGAAATTGCCCCCTCTTGGTCCACCAGCAAGGGCCACCATGAACTGCTTGAATTACTCTGGGGGCTGAGTTGTTTGACACCGTGCTGGAGCTCACACCCAGGTAGGACGGTTCCCGTTGGAGCTGCTCTGCAGCGGGGACCCCCAGGGCACAGCTACCCAGCAGTGAGCAAGGGCACTTGAACTGAAACTGCTGGCTCAGTGGAGAAACGGCTGCAGAGCTCATCCAGCAGCAAGGACCTGGACGCTGGCTCTTGTCGAAGGGACCTTGGGGTTATGGACCAGCAAAACTGGGTAGAGGTTGGGTTGGTGTCTCACCACTCAAAATGTGGTTGTTTCTGGCCCACCCTGGCACGTGAGTTCCCACCCAGTACACATTCAGTTGTAGGGGTTAGCTAGAAATCCATCGCTGGTGATGTCTCACCCTACAGAGCTGGGGAGAACTGGAAGAGAAAGCACTGGTCGTGGTGGAGAGCCCTGCTGGGCCCTCTCCGTTGGCCTCCTCACCTCAAATACTCATCCCACCTCTCCTGGCTGTTTTCTAGGAGGTGCGGGCTGGCTGATGGATGCTCCTGCCAAGCGATGCAAGACCCATGCTCTGAAGCTCCAGGCTTGCTGCTCCACCATCCCTCTCCCGAGCTTGGCTGCCAAGGCTCTGACATGCCTCCTGCTGCTCCAGGGCACAGTCCCTCCTTGTTGCCAAATAAACAGAAGCTTATCCCAGAGCTTGGTGTAGCTGTCTGGGGAGAACCTGGGGCGCTTGGACGTGTGGTCCCTTCTGTTGTCATCCCAGGGTCTGTGGATGGTGAACAACCAGGGGCGATGCTGGCCTGAGCTCACCTGAGCAAGGGCATTTTTGGAGCCCACCAGGATCTTCCCTCCTGGGTGACTCCCACAGGGCAGGACCATGGCTAGGCAGAGGTGAAGCACAGGGTGCAGTGAGGCTGGAAATCCTGTGGGCACGAGGGGCTGGGTGGAGAAAGGTCGTGGGATTTGGCTCACAGAAATTGAGTTTGGAGTTTGGAGGGCTGCGACCACTGCCACCATCCTACTCATCTTCCCTCTGTTCGCCCCACTGTGATTGCAGCCCTCCTCTCCCCTGGACCCCGTCTCGTCCACCAGCTCAGGGCAAGACCTCACAGCCCCATGGTACTGCAGGGCTGGTGGAAGGTGGAAGGTGGAAGGAGGTGTCTGAATCCTCCAGATCCAAACCCAGAGAGCTGGTGTGGGGCATCGTGTGGTCTCTGCCCCTGGGCACCGCACAGAGAAAGCCCCCGCTGGGGTCAGATTGTCTGGTGGTGGTGGACATCTGCCTCCAAGACTGTCTTCCTTTGAATTTATATTTCTGAAATCCCACTCCTTCCTTCCCTTCTTGCTCTGTTCAGCTCCTCAAATCCACCCGGGAGAAACCACAGCTGGTACTGCAGGGCTGGTGGAAGGTGGAAGGTGGAAGGAGGTGTCTGAATCCTCCAGATCCAAACCCAGAGAGCTGGTGTGGGGCATCGTGTGGTCTCTGCCCCTGGGCACCGCACAGAGAAAGCCCCCGCTGGGGTCAGATTGTCTGGTGGTGGTGGACATCTGCCTCCAAGACTGTCTTCCTTTGAATTTATATTTCTGAAATCCCACTCCTTCCTTCCCTTCTTGCTCTGTTCAGCTCCTCAAATCCACCCGGGAGAAACCACAGCTCACCCAGGGTAACCCGTGTCCCCACCTCACACATGCTCATCTCCAGGGCTTGGCCAGTGCTCACAGGCACTGAGATCTGGCAGGGTATACAGCAGCTTGTGCCTCTCCTGGAGAAGGAAGTTCCTCCAAAATCCCCTCTGCTGGTCTTTCTACCCTGCCCATCTCTGGCCAGTCACCCGAGAGCTCATTTCAGCCCAGGATCTGCCTCGCTTCTGCGTGATGGTAGCAGGTACGCCTGGAAGGTGCTGCCCCAGCAGCTGAGCACCTTGGGATGTTCCCAGGTGCTTCTTCTTCCTCCCAGGGACCGGGAAAACACATCTGGGAAACCACCCCTCGCAATCACGAGAGCTGGACACGCTCCGGTGGTGGCAGGGCAAGGGACCGCGCTGGGGCTTCCCAACCCAGTGACATCTCCGCCCTCTTTGGAAGAAGCCCAGCCTTTCCAGCAAGAATCCTTCCCGGCAGCTGGGACTGGAACAGTTCCACATTTGCCGTGCTCCCAAGAGCGCCGAGCCCACACGCAGCTTTGCCTCGGGGCTGGCTGGCGGCGCCCGGCCCGATGCCAGCTTTGCCTCGGGGCTGGCTGTCGGCGCACGTCTCGATGCCGATGGAAACACACTGCTGCCAGCAGTGCCCTTCACCAAGGGCTTTGTGGGGCGCGGAGTCCTGGTGTCTCCACGCCGCGCTCCAGCCAAATACTTCGCTCCTGCCGGGCGGAGGCATCGCCCTGCCAGACAGCGCTGAGATCCTCTGCCGCTGGCATTTTCCACTCCTCCTTTTGTCCGTTTGTTTTCTCCTCGTGCGCCGGAGCAGGACGCACACAGGCTGCAATTTCAGCTCTTTTCTGGGGGTGAGTCCCCCTCTGCTCTGAGCAGAGCAGAGCAGGCTGGGGGTCCCCACCCCAGCCCTCCATCACCCTGCAGCCCTCCCATCAAGCCCGTCCCTTTACCTGCTGCTCATCCAACGCTTGTCAGACCGCGCAGCCCCTCTCCCAGCACCCTCCCTTCAGCAACAGGCAGGTACAGGGGCAAGGAGAAGCATGCAGGGATGGGGTGAAAGGAGGGTTGTACCTGTCCCCCTTTAACCCCCAGCAAACCTGGCCAAACGTCATTGTGTATTTAATGACAGGGGACTTCTCATTCCTGAACGTCTCTAAGGGCTTCCTGGGGTGAGGCACCTTCTCAGCACTGGTGGCTTCCCGCAGCGAGGAGCTTCACCACCCGTCTCTGCACTCCCGTTCGCTTGTCGCAGGGGTTTCACTTGCAGCTCCTTGGCCGGGCGCTGTGGGAGCGCGCTAGTGGGACAGGCTGGTAGGGACCGGGTCAGTGCAGCCAGGCACCAGGGCCCATCAGCTGCTGGAGACAGCGGAGGGGTGCTGTGGCAAGGGAGGTGCTGGACCAGCCTTTGATGTATGAGGAGCCGCGGTGATTGCTGGTGATGGGAGACTCTCTTTGTTCTTCATCCTTTTCGTGCTGTCCAGGAGCTTAAATCTTTAGTAAGTCTCGTTGCTCTCCCAGCTGTGCCTCTCATCCTTCTCTCTTCCTCCCCTGCTTAGGCCCTGCCCCTGCTGGGGCTGGGTGACCAGACCTGGACCTCCACCCATCCAAGGAGGTGTGGGTACAGCTTAGATTTACAGGGTGCTTTGTCCATTCCCCAGTCTTCTCATAACTTCTCCTCAGGCTGCATCTGCCACCTTTGGCACCTGCTGTGCGTGGATGAGACATTTCACAAGATGTCTGTTGGCACAGTGAGCTCCCTGGGTGATCTTCCTCCCTTTTTTGTCTCTCTCAGACACTCATTTATCCACGTGAGGATCTTCCTCCCTAGCCTACGGCAGCTTGCCCTCTGCAAGCTTTGACAAAGACCCTTCCCAGCTGACCAGGCGATGTCCAACACCCACATAGTGTTAACCCCTCCAGAAACTGCATTTCTCAGGTGCGATTTTCCTGTGCAAAAGTTGGATTCAGTCTCCGCTGTGACCTAATATGCCCATACATCAACCAGGTCTGCCCTTTATTGCAGCTTTTATGAGTATCTGCCCGCTCTGCATCGTAGATCTACCTGTCTGTCGTCTTTTTACCCCCGACAACCTCTTTAAATCCAGCATATTTCCTTCTTCTAGTCTTCTGGTGAAAACTAGAGGTAGCAAAGGTGAGTCTAAGCAGCAGATGACATACTACAGTGAGAAGTATGAGTTTCATACCTGACTGATGTTGACTGGAAATGTTATCTGCTCTGCCTTGCTCTTCACTTTCCCTTCTGCATTGGTAGGACAGATCTTTTCAAGTGTTCGCAAGAGAGGCCGTCTAGCGTGGGGATCCACCAAAGCTCCTCCTCTGCCAAGGTGGATGCAGAGTTTCTTCACTTTTCTATCAGCTTATTTTCATTGAATACTCACTGTGAATTTGACTGGCTACCTGTCAAACATTCTCTAGTGTTCAATTCCCGCTCATGGCGCCTTTGAAGAAAGGAACATAAGTGCAAATGTCCTTCCTCAGAGTAGAGGAGCAAGGGGCCAACTTCTGGTGCCTTCATCGTCTGTCTTACATTGCTGCCAGTTAACTTACCAGGAGGCATTTTAATTTCTTCATGCAGATACAGCTTCAGCAAGTTTAAGAACATTTATCTTGTTTCTGATCAGCTGCCTTAAATCGATTTAATCACGCTGGCTTTCATTTATGCTTTCCCTTTGCGACACTGTTTAGGTTTGTATTTGCTAATATCAGCTTAAGTGCTCAGGGTGAAGCTAAGCTGGTCCTTCCAGGCAATCTCTGTGCCATATGTGGTATTTAATCCTCTAGACTTTCCATTTTTTCCCCTTTCTAAAACAAAAAGCAACTGTATCGGACCATCTCTTGTTCTAAGCATAGCACTGGCTGTCAGGAGAATGGCGTTTTGGTGTCAGCCCGTGAGCCAGGTCCCTCTTGCTGCTCAGGATTTGTGGGCTCTTGGCCATCCCAAACACCTGAGCCCACGGGTGCCCATCCAGCCACGTGTTAGAGCCTCCTGGATGTCCCTTGGCGTGTGATGTCTCACAGACCAGCATCACCGGCTGGCGGTGTGGTCACCACAGCAGGAGTCACTCCAACGACATGCGGCCATCAGGTCCCATCTGTCTGCCTTGTACGGAGCAGAGCGAGGCCATGGGGTTCCCCGAGTGCCGCTGGATGTGGGACCTGGCGGGTGCCAGCCCAGCTGAGCCCTTCCCCACCCTCCAGCCTTGGGGACAGCCCCTCACCGGGATCCGGGCGATGGTTGTCAGCTCTTGACAT